GGGACAACGGCTGCTCCACGTGACACCGCGAGAGGCAACCCACGTCTCCCTCGTTCGCGGGGACCCGCCGCTCTGTCCTCCAGGGCCTGACATGGGGCTGGACACGCAGGCATTTATTTTTTAACTCCAAATCACGAGCAAGGACCCAGCCCTGCGATCTCTCCGGGTGACTGCGGGTGGGCATGTCCGGACGATGAAGCAAGAGTTGGCAAGTTCCTGTATCTTCTTCTGGCGCATTTCTCATGCTGCTGACTCATACGGATTTTAATGGGGATGCACCGGGGGAGTCTGCTGCAGGGGTGACCGTGATGCCCCTTACACCATGCCCATGCCTCCCAGAGGATGGGCTGCCATGCGCCCCTCCGCCCCCTCAGCCTCCAGCTGTGACCCCGGGTCTCTGGCCTGTCCCAAGGCCACGTAAAATTCTGCCCCGCTAGGCTCCAGCTGTGGCCCTGCCTGGCCTTGGGCCCACATCTGGGCCAGTGAGACATTCATTCACCCCCTCCGACAGCTGCTGTTCCTGGGCTATGAACTCCCCAGCTCCCTGCCCGTGCCCCTCCTGAGCTCCAGCCTCCGGCCTCTTGGCCTTTCCCATTCAGCCCCCACTCCCAGGCTTTCCTCAGGCCTTTCCCATTCAACCCCTCCTCATGCTTACTTTTTCTGGGAACTTGCACCTCCACCCACACTGGTCCCCAGGCCTGCTATTCCTATAGCTTCTCTAGACCAGCTGGGACCTCCTTACATCCCCCCCTCAGTCTCTTCCACAAACACCAGTTAAAACTAACCGCATTAGTAAGCCGTCTGGCAGACACCACTAAACCCTCTCTAGGTCCAAACCTAAAGGGCTGCCTGCCTGCATAACCCAGCCTCTCTACCCCAGGTAATATTCCCCCCTTCCCTCCCAGGCCTGCAGAGTTGCTTGCTCCAGTGTTCTCTCAGGAGCTCCTCTCCCTGTGGCTCTTAGGACAAGACTGCCTGACCAGCTCAAGGCCCAGATTTATGTGGTTCAAGCCTGGTCCCCTTTCTGATCAGGTGACTCTCCAATTGCCTCCCCCCCCCCAACACACTTTGTCACTTGTAGGCTGCTTTTTAGGCAGCCTCCCCTCTTAAATGGCAGGTGTACAAAGCACCTCCTCATAGGGAGTTATAGGTCTTCCACACCTGTGAGAATTCAATGCAAGAGACCTGCAGTTATTGAACACCCAGACTGGAGGCACTCTTTCACAGGCCAGCGTAAGTCAGTGAGGAAATCCAATACTACTTCTTTTACATGAGAAGTCTTTGGTTCCACATCTCATATTCAGTTTTCTAGGTGGAAGCTAGGGCTTGATCTTGCACTACTATCTCAGTCTACAGTAATTTTAACTGAGTAGGAAAAGCAGAAATGGTCCCAAAGTGCTTTGTGATCAACCTACAGAATAATTAAGACAAACAAAGGTAAATAGTTCAGTTAATCAGTATTTCTGATTTTGTAAAGTTAACAAAAACTGATTACAAGACATGTTATCATATGATTAGCTTGTATTTTATACTGGCTGCTTTTTATCTTCAAGTTCCTGTATGATCTTAATGATTATTAAAATCATACCTAAACTAAAACAATGCTGTCACAGGAGAATGCTGTATAAAATGTTGTAGTTGACTATTAAGACATTAATCAAAATACTACTAACATGCTCAACTGCTAGGATGCCATCTCTTCCTAAGGTTCCCCAACATTTCCTGACCTGGTTTTCACATTTGTTATAACTTAACCAACCTGGACTACACTGGGTGTATGCTTCCAGCTGACTTTTTTTTCCTGGGAATTAGAAGCTGGGTGTAGGGACAGACTAGACATGGAGAATTGGAAAGTGGAGGAAAATTGGGACGATCTGGGCAAGGAGACTAGAAAGCTATATGGAAGGGGATGAAGACCAAGACCAGATAAGGAGAAAGGAGAAACAGGATAGGCTGGCAGGAGAAAGGTGGCGGCAAGATGTTGGGGGAACTTAGCTGCCAAAAGAACTAGGATAAGCTGTTGGGATCAATCCTGCCTCTATCACAGCATTCCTATTTGATGCTAGTAAAGTTGCTTAAACTAAACACTTTGCAAGCAGTTGTGACTTATCTGCTCCTCATTGTCTAGGTGCCTACACCTGAATCTCGGAGCCAGATTCACAGAGGTAGCAACCATTCACAACTGCAACTAAAAATCAATGAAAACCGTGGTTTGAAATTATAACATGTTATAATACAAAGTACTCCTAGAAATCAAATCATGGGTGTCCCTGACTGAGTACCCATAATCAATTCATACTTTTGACCGTGATCTGTATCTCCTTCCCCATCCCTAAAATAGATATGACACCCTCTTAATTCATAGGCATGTTTGTGAAATATTCAGATACTGTGGTGAGGAGTACCATATAAAGCCTATAATTCTGTCCTTAAAGCAGGTTTTCAGCAGTAAACAAGGGATGAGGCCACACATTGAACAGTGATAAAATACTGCATAGCTGCTCATTAAGTAAGCATATGCTATCCTCTGGAAAAAAAAAAATAGTGTGTGATCATGTAATGAAAGATTATCATAATACACCAGCACAAAGGGCAGCAAAAGAAGGTAGCTCAAGCATCTTGATGGTATTTGAACCCACGTGTCCCATGAAAGTGCCCTTGTACTTCCAAACTACTCTGGCATGTGAGCCCGCAATCTCTCCTGCTGATATCAAACAGATCTTTGCTCTGAGTCAGAAAGCATAGATCTGAATGTAGGTCTCCCACATCTCCAATGCATGCCCTAAACGCCAGTTACATGGTGGCGCTCCCATTCCTCCTTTTGAGTTGTTCCCCATTGTCATTTGTTCAGTGACTAAAATCATGAAAAAAAAAGCGACTCTTTAGGTTAGAATATACACATAGGGGGTTCAACATAGGGTTACAGTCCCTACTCCAGCTGTTGTTCAGTTATTTAGACAGGGCAGGGAAGTTGTGGTTGGAGGTGGGGGGAAGTTGAGTTGAAGTTCTCAGGATCCCCAAAACACTCTCCCAAAACCTGTCTGTGGTTGTTTATGGACTGCAAGCCGCTTGAGCCTTTTCAATAGAGCTAGATATAAATTTAAAAACAAAATAAGGAATAGTGTCAGTAAGAGTATAAGGCTAAGTACAGATGGTCAAAAAGCCTGAGGCTGAATCAATTAAATCTGTGCAGGTTAATCTAAACTGCACAGATTAAATTGAAACAGAAGTCAACAGACATTTACCTTTGATTCAGGAAATGCAGCCACATGCCTGCAGTGGCTCAAGCCAGAAGCTGGGGACCGTGCTAGAGCACAGTTCTCTGGCTGTATATCCACTTCCTCTTCCTGCTGCCCCTGAGGGCTTTGGAATTTGCAGTCCAGAATCACAACAACAGAATTCTGCAGGCTTGCTCATCACTTCCTCTTTCAGCTTCCAGGTGCCTCTGGGATTTGTAGTCCACAGTTGCAGCCAGCTGTAAGTTTGAGCAGGGGAAGAGGTGTTCAACCCCCCTCCCTGGCCCCAACCGGGGTTAGCCTGGGGGGCAGAGGAAGTCCCCCTTCCCTGCAGACTGGGCTACATCCCCAGCTGGGTTCCCCCCCATCTTGTCAGCCAGCCCTCACTGCTCCAACTAGGGAGCAGAGGGGCGGGGCCAGCCCTGCTCTCTAGAGCACATAGCATAGACCCAGGGCTACAAAGCATTCTGGGATACTGGAGGACTGTGATTTAACTTGAACCAGAAAAGGGTCGGGAACAGAAGTTTCAATAAATTGGTTTGACTCAAAATCAGTTCAGTCTAATGCTATGTTCAAACAGGTTTATCTTAAAAGAGTGTCAAAATGGCTGAAACTGGTTTATGTGCACTGATCTTTTGTTCTGTTACAGGTTTAAACCAGTTTCTGATCACTTAAAACCAGTTTGTGTTGAACTTCTGTCCCTAGCTTAAGTTTTCTCCCCCTACATTCCTGACAATATCCTAATAATTAGGAACTGTAATGAAACATGGGTTCCAGTCCCCCCAGCAGAGGTGGGAATTTAATACCTGTGGTGAATGCCAAGGTATCCTGAGGTACTGGGGAGGGGATTACTTGAACAAGAAAGAGGAGAGGAAAATATATTTGGCTTTAGTCAAACAGCTTTTCTTCTTATTGTTTGCTTCACTGCTGAAACAGAAAACACCTAATGATGCATCTGTCCATAAACTGAACCCCTCTTACTACTAAGAGATGGTACACTGTTCCTTTCTCCTGTGACTGCCAAATTCCCCCTTTTAGATTTAAGTCTCTCAGGCTCTGCAGTATTTAAGACCTAATGTTAAAGCCTGATCTGTTTTGTTCCGCTACTTGGTTTGACTGATTTTTCTAGGGAACGGGTCAGCAATCTTCTTACATGGCTAGCAGAGCCAGGGAATTTCTGCAGTGGCAGGGAGAAACAGCAGCAGTGGCATAGACTGAATAGGGAACCGCCTACACTGGGAACTTCTCTTGAGGTCCCTTCCAGCCTTATTTCTTCATGAACTAGGCTCTAGTAGTGTCCCCCTACTGCAAAACATGCAAGGAAAACATGCAGGGAATACTTTTCCAGCTGCTAGACTGTGCAACATGTGCTCTTTTGAAATGGGTTAGTTTGCTGACTAATGTGCTCACTGTGGAAAGTGAATATGAGGTCATGCAAAGATCTGGATTGTATGTGCTGGGACTGGAGTTGGATCAAGGGCCAAACAAGGGCAGTGTTACAGATATGTTGTCCATAATGACCCCTGCTTCTGGCCAACTGGGCCCTTAAACAGGATCATGGGGGCACAAGGAGCCCCACACGGAAAACCCAGTGATGAATGAGGGTCCAAGACTGCAAGCTCATCTTCCTACGTGTTCATTAGGCATCCAATGTACTTTTGAGGCTACATAAATAATACCAATA